CTGCTGCTGCTCAGACATAAATCCTTCAAATACACGGTTGGTTTTACTTCTAAAATTATTCTATTGACACAGACATTTACATCGACAGTCTGGCATAATAATTGTTTTGCCTTGGGTGCTTTGTGGAGTGGGTAAGACAGTTTTTAGTGGCAGGCTAACTGTGCCCGTTGACATGCACTAGCCTAGCACCAGTGACCTCTGCAAATACAAGGACTGGATGGAATATTTCAAAAAGTGTCTCCACACGTCTCCAACACTCTGGCTCACTAGGAAATGAGGCCCTATGTCCAAAATTCCAAACTGTCCCTTTAACAGCTCGTTTTACAATTTGTTTAGCAAAAATTGGCAATCCGAGGACTGAAATCTTCCATATGATTCTAGAGAAGGTGTATGCACTTCCTGTATTACCATAGGGTTTTCCATTTTAGAGAAGAACTATACATAAATATGCAGGGTTTGCGTGTTAAATGTGTGAATGTGTGAACTTCAGGTTATGTTTCTGATGAGGAAACAGCATCTTAACAGATCAAAAGACAGTGTGATATGGGTTGTTTAACCCTGCTGAACAGACAAAACACTCTCTTATTTATAATGTAGTAGTCCTCTGTGCTCAATAATTATATATTCCAATTGTATTTAAATCTTTTAGGCTGTGAATGAGTCCTCACATCCATCTTATTTTTCCACACAGACTCCTGCCAGTGTTGATAGCTTTGACAGCCGATAATTAGTCTTATATTACATCCTGTCTGCACCATTGACCTGAGCATTTACTCGCCCGTAAACTTTTTATTTCAGTCGCTACTATGATAAAACGCTCTAGGGCTGAAGTGGCTCCATATTTTCCATCTTACAAAGTGGAAGAAGCCAGAGGAACAAGCTCTACCGCCCCATTATCAGTCCCTGTTGTATTTGATGTAGTTAATTTATTTTGGACTACAGTAGTATTTGCTCAGCTCTTGGCGAGTTGATTAAGATATCATGTGATAGACACAGAAATGAAGTCCAAGTCTGTCAGTTCGGAAAGAGAGGTTTAAATGGTAAAATCCCAACGAGAACGGTAAATTATTGATATTTCTCTGACCTGCTGCTTGTTTCCATTTGAAATTATTATTCTTACAAACTCAATATAAAGCCAGAGACAGATGCGAGCCAAAGTATGACATAAAATACAAGTAGTGCAAACACATGGCTGCCAATGTTTTATTATATTACCATCAAAGACTATTGCAAAAAGTCAAAACGGCATTTCTAAATATGAATACCTTTGATGCTGCTGAAATACTGTAACAAGATAAAAGTAGATAAAAGTTGACATCAGTTTTTTATTTTTGTATATTTTTATGTACTAAAGGAGTCCTATTAAATGATAGTTCTTGTGTGTGATAGTTCTAATCTGTGACACCTGTGGATCGTTATGTTATAATTTGGACATTTTACACCACAATATTTATTTAAAACTTAACTAACTTAATGAAAGAAATAAGTGCGCTGATTTCTGTGTTCCAAAACTGTGGTGCCCAATGGAAGCTGATGTCGCTGTAAACGTCATCAAAAGAAAGAGATGGCACCTCTGATGGATAGGTGCAGATCACATTAGCAAGTAGGGGTGTGCAAAAATATTGAAATATCGAAATATCGTATCGCTTAATGTGATGATACAGTATCGATATCGTGGGCTGCTGTATTGATATATCGCCAAGAGTATTTTGTTATAGTGCTACAGTTTTGTTGCTTGTTCAGTGAAAAGAAACTCGTTTATGCAACACATTTGACGTTTTCACTTTTTTGATGATTAAAATGTTTGTGGTATAAAAAGTGGTTTAACATAGACTTTTAGAATCACAGCCTTGATTTAGCCATTATTTTTTATTGAACTGTAACAAATCGATTTGAAATATATCATATCAAATCGAAAGTGCACTGCATTGAGGTATGTATTGTATTGTGGCCTATGTATGGAGGTATGTATCATACCGGTCACTTCTTAATGATACCCAGCTCTACTAGTGAGCAGTGTTTTTTTCCCATTTTACAAAATTGACTACAAAACACTGCCAAATCCTATATGTATCACCAATTAGGATGTTAAAATTGAAGAATGAAGTAAGTACAGAGCAGTGGCCATGTACAGATGACAGTGAAAATGGAAGTTGATCGGCAAAATGGTGTGGTGAAAATAAGAGATTAAAGATTTCTCAAGCGTGCAAGAATCACCCCAAATACAGCTTTGGGTAAGCAAGTGCATCTACTTTAACACGGTTGACCATAGTAGCTTAGGGGCATCTTGTAGGGTACAGATTTTCATAAAAAAAATACAAAATCTTCTGTTCTTAATGACCTTATTTTAACCTATTCTCTCTGTACATGATATGTTGTAGAGTCTATATAGTTCAGATAATAAAAATTAATTCCTAAATTAGCTGCCGTTTATTTCTATAATCAATTAACAATCACAATAAATCAGTTGCTGCTCCCTATCTCATTACTGTTGGTTTCATGCCATGAGAATAAATGACAGCTGAACACAGTAGTCAAAGCAATTAACTCTGCCAAGCTAATATTATCCTCATAAGATTTTTATTATTAAAATTATATGATACAAACCCAACCTCTGTTCGTCATAAATTACAGATCATTTCATTTTCCAGTGTCAACTTTTCCAGTGAAATAGTGTCAGTGACATTTCCAATATGATTTTATTGGCAGCTGTATCAGAAAGGAGGACATACATGGCGGTTTTACAAGGCTTAGCTAACTTCTCCCATGCTCTGTGTACTGCCTTGTAACTAATATGTTCAGAGCACTTTAAACTTCATGATTCATTGTTTGAGAGGGACTACAGTTTTACACAACTTTTTCATGACATCAGTGGCTTGGCTGTCTGACCATCTACCGCTCTGATTGCTGTTGTGTCAGAGAAAAATCTGTCTCCTAGCAACTATTTTGGTGTTGTCCAAAATATATTTATAATGAAGAGGCGGTTTACACGTCATAAAGTTTTGCTCCTGACCCTGGATTATTGATACAAGTGGAGCGGATAAATAATGGAAACTTATCTCATTTGTTGCAGGCAATGTGTTTTTCCACCACATTTTTATGCTTTGAACCTGCCATAATGAGAGGCTGTGTATGCATGTGCACTGCTGGAACTTATTCTAACAACTGTGGAACAAAGATGGGGAAAACCCTGCAGAGAACAAAACATCAAATCTAAATATCAAGATGATTAATTTGCGAGAAAATTTGAGCAGATTTGTTTTTTTAGGTGCATTATATACCTTTTCTTGTGGATGTTTTGCCACCTGCGTGTCTCCATGGAAACGTTATTGCTTTGGAAAACTCCACTGCATGGCATTAAATTAATCTATCATGCCTGGCTCAATAACAGTTATTGTTTGAAAATTCTTTGAAAATCATGCACTGTTATTGTGAAGGAGCTTGCCTCTCCACATCTCCTCTCCTGTATCTTGATGTAACGGTATGACTGCTTTGTCTCCATGGAGGTATATATGTTTAATGCTATACTGTGGAACATTCCAGGCAAAGCAATATCATCATAGAGACAAACAGGTGGATCCCTACCAATAAAGTTACATAGTGCCCCTTTAAATACACGCACATGCATTGTGTAACTTTTCCATCAAATACTTTTCTCCATGGAGATGTTATTACTTTGTCTGGTATGTTTCACAATATGGTGTTAAACTATTCTATCTTCATGGAGACCAAACCAGACCGAGTTACAGGTCAGATCTGTGGAGAGGCAACCCCTCTCACAGTCAGAATGCTGTTTTTTCTTGGTATTTTTGAGCTATAAAACCACCTGTAATTGAAGAAATGTAAGCTAAAGCTGTTTATGTCATGCTGTGGAAAATTCCAGGCAAAGCAATGACATATCCATGGAAACAAACAGGTGACAAACCCCCAACCCAAAAGTTACATAGTGCACCTTTAACTTGTATTCGTCATCAGGCAATCCCAGGGAGCACAGTTCTCCTGTTTTACAAATGTATTCATGTCGTTTTACTCCTCTTTAATCTTTTTGGGTTTAGATGTATTTAGGTGAGTTTTGTAGCCAAATGTTATTACTGCTGTCAGAATAAGGCTGTAGTCCAACAATGATGTTTAATCCAATCATAACCACTAAAGACATGAGTGTTGTTCATGAACCATCTGAGCCAAAGATCAATTAGATACATGAGAATCTGACTTCAGAAAAGAGCAGTACACGCCCTCGTTACAGTGGCCTCAACAAAGAGAGACAGAGGCTGAAGAGAATGGGCCAAGAGAATCGCGCGTCCAATTTGTGTTGGTTTGGCAAAATGTGAATACAGCTTTTGTTCACAGTGAAATCCAGGAGTCGGAGAGACAAACAAGGGATACTGTTAGTCTGTGTGAGAAGACATTATGCAATTTACTTTAACAGTTTTCAATTTTATAATGCAAGCAATCAAAGTATTACTCTATCCTCGTGGTTTGTGGTTGCAGTTATTAATAGATTAAGTGATGCTACTGCGGTTTAATACACATTATAGCTGAAATTGCAGGCTTAAAAGGTGACTGGTTGAGGATGAGGACAAGAAAATAGGCTGTGAGTTATAGCAAGAGACTGTAGTGGAAGTTAGGTTTGTTCATGTACAATTTCAACTTTATAATTCCACTTTATGAAGGAAAAACTTTGTCATTCTGGGATAAGGGCATTGAACTTTTTGGACACATTGGAAATACTGTGTCATATAATATCAATATTGACATTCAAAAATTCTGAAATTCTGAAAAAATAAAAATAAAAAATTAAAGTTGCTTAACGTCTCGGCTCCTTTGATTTGTCGACCCCCATTCTTCACCCCATTCCACTCATTTCACTCGCATTTCACTGCACTGTTTTGCCTAATAGAATCTAAAGGCCAAATAATCCTCACTACTCACGCTACTATAAGGAACAGTCTACTGCACTGAGCATTGCTAATCTTTGCTGTGTGGTTGTATGGTTGCAGTGGCTGATCGGGGACCGGGACAGTCACTGTGGGCTGCTGTGCTCCAGGACTCAGGGCAAACCCGTGTGTGGTTCAGACGGACGAAGCTACGAGAACAGCTGTGAACTGCAGAGAGCGCGCTGTAAAGACAAGACCATCACACTGTCTCATCGAGGGAGGTGTAGAAGTAAGTTAAATTGACCCAGGGCTAGAGTTTAGACACAACAGCAAAAATCATATAAGAAAGACTTAAATGCTGTCTTTGTTGTCCAGGTAAAAACTGGCCAGCTGTAGCTCCGACCACAGCTTCAGTGGTCAGAGATATTGACTATAAAGGTAAATTCACACTGCCCTTTACACATTTTCATATAAAAAAAAATACAAATTATGAGGTTATAGTTTTTTGTTTTTTTTAAGCATTTTTAGGGTGCACAATGTAACTTTTCTGGTTGAAGGTACACCTCTGGTTTATCCCTTTGGAAATGTTCATTGCTCTGTCTAAAATCTTCCAGAGTATGGCATTAAAATAATATTTCTTCCATTTATTCAAATACAAGTGTTTTCATTGAACTAAAAATAACTTAGCAAAAATGCATCCTTATAGTGAGTGGGGTCACCTCTCCACAGATCTGGCTTACATCTTGACCTTGTGGTGCCTTCATACATACAGTGGAGCATTCAAAGCAATGGAGATAACTCCATGGAGACAACCTTCTTGTGGACCCTTCATCTGAAATGTTATATAGTGCACCTTTAAATTCACAAATAATTACCAACAGTTGTCTAACAAAAACTTACATGTACCACTTGTTGCACTCACCCCTTTAGTTATTTTTGTAAAAACCTCAAATGTGAGAGTATAGTCCTTATAGCAGGGATTAAAAGGTTCTGTTATACAAAATGGATTCTTGTGACCCGGAGTTTTGTTTCATTCACACATTGCTGTTTCACTTTGTGATGCCATGAATCTCTAGTTTTCAAGTTAAGGATTGGCCATTCCAGGGCTGAAATGATCCAAATCTTTCTAGTAAATGTGTATGGAGTTTAAAAACACAGTGGAGTGCTTCACGTATTACCAGATGGCATCACAGCTTTGTCAGTTTGAGAGAAAAAGTCAGTCTAAATATGCCAGTTGTGTGAGTTAAATGTGTGAAGGAAACAAAACACAACTCCAGGTATGTTTGTGATGAGGAAACAAGATTATGTCACCAATCAGAAAACAGCATAATATGGGGCCTTTAAAGGTGGACAGTGGTCAGAGATGAAATGAATGAGAAGATGTGTTTAATTTTCCGCTTCTGTGTCTCCGTGTAAACCTAACCAGACCTGCACCAGTGACTTCCTGAGTCTCGAGATGCCAGGCACTCAACAACACTGAGATTGATAGGTCTGGAGTCAAGGTTGAGCTTGGCATTTCCCCCTTTACCACCTCCTCTTTTTGGTGCACTGTCTATTTGGAAAACAGAAAGACATTTTTGGATTAAGTCCTAGTTTTTCGTAAGGTAATGCGTGTTTTTATTTCATAATACTGAGCGGTTCCAGGGAACTCTGAGCCAGGCGAAGCTCATAGTTTTTGCACATTTAATGATCAAAATAAGGCTTTAGTCAAATCTCTGTTTACAACTTCTGGCTTAGACTTGGCTGTGTGAATTTGATGGGATTACAAGACAAAACGCTAGCAACAAAACCACAATCAACAAAGGGCACAATTGCATATGTCAGGCTTATTAACCCATTCTTTTAAACACCGAGTTAGCTGCAATTTTAAGCAATAAAATGCAGGACTCTAATTAAACAATATTATAGCTTAAAGAGCATACCTATATTATGAAAAATGTAGTCTTGTGAGCTTTAAGCACTGTTAAAATGTTGTTACCTCCTCAGGAACATACCAGGAGTTGTGTTTTATTCCATTCTCACATGTTTGAGTAAACCTTTATTATTAGTCTGTCTACATCTTTAGTTCAAAATGCTCTGTTCCAACTTGTGATGTCATAAATCAGTAGATTTCAAGTTAACAACTACCTAACCTTTAATTTTTGATCAGTAGAGATGGGCAAGTAGAGAGCTGATATTATCCCAGTGATTCTGTTGAATGTGTATGGAATTTAAAAACACAGGGGAACACTTCATGTATTAACACATGACATCACAAGGTGGAATAGGAGTGTTTTTTATTAGAGAAAAGACCTCCTAAAGAAAGCCTAAATATGCAGGATGTGTGTGTTAAACATGTGTGAATGGAACAAAACAGAACTCCAGGTATATTTTTGATGAGGAAACAACATTATAACAGATCAGAAAATAGCGTAATATGAGTCCTCAATCATATGCAAATCATAACAATATCTTTTGTAAAATTTAAAATGGAAATAGTGGAAAGAACACTGGCGCAGTCTGAAGTGTGGATGTGTGAGGGTAGGCTAGCTTTAATGGCATGAGCAGACCAGAAGCAAATTAACAGGGACAAGGTCTGAAAAACAGATTAAGATGGATTTTCTATTTTTGCAGCAACAAAAGCATCTCAGAGCTGAATATAAATAGATTTGAAATTGTGTTGACATTTCACTCAGACAGTCAGACTGGTCTCAACTGTTCCAATAATATCTATTCTGTAAAGTATCTCTGGCATGGCTGAGTGCTTTGCCAGTGATAATCAGCATTTAAAAGTATTTTCATTTGTATATTTGGCTCTAGGCAGTTGTAGACATATCTTAAAGGTGGATTGTGTAACTTTTCTGCTCATGTATCACCATCTTGTATCCATGGGGATGTTATTGCTTTGGAATGTTTCCCATAATGGTATTAAATGTATCCATATAGTAGTAGGCCTAGTATATATTTCCTTTTTGTATTGCCCAGAAATATTGTAAAAACATGCATTCTTATTAACTCACCGTTGCTTTTTTCCACAGTGATAGATTATTTTAATGTGGAACATTAAAAACAAACCAATTACAACTCCATAGAAACAGACAGATAATGGACCCTTCACCAGACATATTACGCATGTGCACCTTTAAATAGATATGTATTATATCACTATGGTAAAAGTCCTTTTTAATTCATTAATATACATCTTTTCACACCAAGGACCTATAGGAATACTAGAACTAAGCCAGGTCTATAACAGGACTATATCAGGACTAAACCAGGGCTAAACCTGTAGTCTCTAACAGTAATCATGACAAAGTTGCCTGGACAATTCACAAGAACTACTGATCAGCCCCCAGTAGCATACGTGTACCGCAGTTTAAAATCAACTAACCTTATTTATATAGTGTACTGTGCTATTATTACCTGATTCAAAGTAGAGCCCGACCGATATATCGGTTGGCCGATATTATCGGACAATATGAGCAACAGTAACCATATCGGCTATCGGCCGATATACTTGCTGATAGGGGCCGATATTTCACATGGGCATGTTATACCTCATTATAAAGCTTAGACTCTCTACATTATGTTCATTTAAGCCAATTTACAGACAGATAAATGTCCAGATATGTGGCTCTGCATCAGTATTTATCTGTGGAGTCATTTTTGTCTGTGTGTGACCGTACTGTTCCTGAACACACCAGAGTCGCGTGTGTTTGTTTACACCCGCAGCCGTGCTCAACACTGAGATTATTTTCTTTTTATGGGCAATCGGTTTGTGTCTGGATTAAAAGGACATTGAGGAGCTTATGTGAGCGGTGAGTGTTGGAAATATGTCAACTTTGAAGCTAGTTTTGGTTTGTTCTGATATGTTAGCGATTAGCTGCTGTAGCTTCCGCACATAAACAGTCTGTTTTCTATTGGTCTATTGTAAAGTGACTATATTGGCCGTATATTTGCTACTGGACCTGCATTGATATGTAAATGAGCTGTAAATAGACGTGTGAACGATGAACTTTGCGCATATAATTAATTACCGCGGCGCGCTAAAGGCTAATAGCGCTAGTTTATTTACTCGCTAGTAGTGATGGTTGGTCGCGAACGAAGCGGCTCTTAGATCCGGCTCTTTGAAGCGAACGACAGGAGCCTGATCCATATTGGGAGCCGTGTTTTCTCTTTCTCTCACTTTTTTTCTCTTCACGCCGCGTGCAGACTCGTGGTAGTTTGACAGCGGCAGCGGCTCAAAACGAAACTTTCAAAAATATATGCAAATATATATATTCAGCATAAAATAAATAAACCAGGACTAATCTTGGGGTCGAGAGAGGGAGAGAGATAGAGACCGAGTCCCGACACTTAGTCCTGGTTAAGTTCTGGTTTAGTCCTGTTTTACACATGGTTTAGATCTGTTTTAGTCCTGGTTTAGTCCTTTTTCAGTCCTGGTTCAGTTCTGGTTTAGTCCTGCTTTGGACCTGCCTTAGACCTGCTTTAGTCCTATGACAAATCATGTAAAGAGGCAGAATAACAATAAATATTGCCTAAATAAACCCAGTTTCTGCCCACCAGAGCCAAACCTAAGTTTTTTTTTTTTTTTATAATTCAAGATTAACAGTGAATTTTTACATCACTAAATATATCGGCAATTATATCGGCAGCTCCAACTCCCATTATATCGGTTTCATATCGGCCACAACAAAATCCATATCGGTCGGGCTCTAATTCAAAGTGCACTATGCAACTTTTCTGCTCCCTTCTTCTTTCTATGGATATTTGATTATTTACCTTAAATGTATTTAATTACAGGTTTATAGCTCAAAAATGCCTAGAAAAACAAGCATTCTGACTGTGAGTGGAGTGGCCTCTCCACAGATCTGACCTGTGACTTGTATGTGTACTCTGTGTAGAAAAGTATTTAACAGACCCTCCACCAGAAAAGTTACACAATGCACCTTTAAAAAACTTATTTTTTTTAATAGCATAATGCTGCTAGTCATATTGTATACAGCTACCTTCAAAAAAATCAATATATACTTTTTCAAGAATTATGTTGTAGTATAACACAACAACAACCATCCACCCAAAGAAATAACATATATATGCTTTTCAATTGTGATACTCACGTTAAAAGCTTTTGAGTGTACCTAAGTGACATATTTAAGTGAGCGAGATGGTGTTAATGTCATTCCTTTTCCAATTTCCAGACCTGTTTCCAAGTCAGCGTGGGCTCTTGACAGACTGTTCATCTGAAGTCTAATATAGCATGATGTATTTCACTAATACTAACACCAGCAATGACGTGAGGCGATTCATGACCTGTAATTTAGTATGCTGTTAAAATACATTTATATGCTCCACTACTGTCCCTTTGGCCTATTAGAATGGCCTATTTAGGTTTAATTATATTCTGAGGTGATTCGTCAGCTGTCTTGAGTTGGATGCTGGGCCAGTTTTTTCTCAGCAGCTTTAGCAACCAAACCTTAAAGCACTGCTGTGTTTTTTCCAGTCCCTTTTGAGTAGAAATTCTATGATTTGTTTCTGCTCAGCTCACCTTTACTTTTGATGTTAGTTGTTTAGTTGTTGTTGGCACAGTTAATGTGTAGTATAAAGGTCTTATATTACACAAAATTGACTCTTGTGAGCTTTAAGCCATGCTATAATGGTTTTACCTCCTCAAAAAACATACCTGGAGTTGTGTTTTGTTTCATTCATGCACTTGAGTAATTGTTTATTATTAGTCTGTCTTCATCTCCAAAGCTCAAAATGCTCTGTTCTACCTTATGATGTCATGCAGTGGTAGTTTTCAAGTTAGCAGCTCCTTTACCTTTAGCTCAGTAGAGATTAGCAATTTGAACTGAAATTATCCAAGTGATTCCAGTGAAGGTGTGTTGAGTTTAAAACACAGTGGAGCACTTTGTGTTTCCATATTACCACATGACCTCACAAGGTGGAACAGAGTGTTTGAGAGAAGAACTCTTTCTAAATATGCAGGGTTTGTGTGTTAAACATGTGTGAATGCAACAAAACACAACTCCAGGCATGTTTGTGATGAGAAAACAACATTATAATAACATAGATCAGAAAATAGTGTAAATATGTGCCCTAAACTCTCAAGCCAGTACCATCTGGAGCTGAAATGTCTTGATGTAACAGTGTCCAGATGACCAGCGTTGAAAACCTTCTTTACATTAAACTTTCAGTTAATCAGGAATCCCATTTCAGTAGATAACTAGAAAAAAGTCTCACAGCTAAAAGATTATATAATGTAGATGAATTTGTATAAGTCAACAATGCACCCTTTCTCTCTGTGTCTTGAAAACGGCTTCTTAATCTGTGTATAATTTGTTCACTGTTGAGATTGGCAGCCCTTAACAAAGAGGCAGCTTTCTGAATAAGGTTCAAAATATTTTCATTTTCAATCTATTTTATTTTTCATAGCTCAAAATACAGCAAAAACAGCAGTCGCCTCCCAGGGCTTTACAGAATTGTTCATTTACCAGACAGTTCAAATCAAAGAGTGACACACAAGCAGATTAATTGATGGTGAAGATTTAGCACGAGGTATGAATACAAAAACATCTAAACGTGTCACAGTTTGATGACATCATAGTCCAATCCGCTCTGATCAGGTGGTATCCATTCAGAGCAGGTCTTTGGCAGGACTCAGTTCTGTGGTCCTGGTGCGCTCCCTGGGGTCTCTGTGTATTTAACTAAAGCCGCTCTGTGCAATGAAAACAGTAGTCGTTGATAGCCCCATATTACTCAACCTTTCGTCCCCTCCACACTCTTTCATATGTACAGTGGAGATGTATGCTTACATTATGGTGGTCAGTGTTGGCTTGAGTGATGGAGCAGATTAATGAAATTAGGTTGGACACAGAAACAGGCCCCACTGCCAAAAATAACTATCTTTATTTTTACAGTCTCTTATAGAGGCTGACTGTGATGACATGCCTTCTGTTTGAATCCATACAAAAGGGTCAGTTAGTTATTGTAACAGACCAGTAACTTCACAATATAAATACTGTTTTATTCCATTAGCGAAGTAAAAATAGACTGCAATCAGTTCAAAAGTGAAAGGAAAAAATCAGAGATCTAACGCTTTATTAATAAAGATTGGAGAGGTGCACTAACTTAAATAAAGGCACTTCAAACCCATTGAAAAAACACTCATAAATAATTGTTAATAATTAATTTGAGTCAATAGCCATTTATTGGTGTTATTACACAAATTAAAAAAAAAAAGTTTTAAACAACACGGTATAATTCATTTTAAAGGTGCCCTGTGTAACCTTTTGGCTGGGGGGTCTGTCATTTTATAGCTCAAAAATACCTAGATACTCTCCACAGATCTGACCCGTCTGGTTTGGGCTCCATGAGGATAGAAAGGTTTAACACCATTAAGTGAAACATTCCAGACCAAGCATTAACATTTCCATGAGAAAAGCATTTGATGGACCCTCCACCAGAAAAGTTACATAATGCACCTTCAAACTAATTTAAGATGATTTTGTAGAGTAAGCTTACATTTTTCTTTTTTCTGAGTATGAGTTGTTGGTGTAAAATCTAATTGAATATATTAGAGACCAACTTAATGATAAGTGTATTTCCAGTGTACTTAACTATATGAGTGTGTATACATGCACATCAGTATCCTGGTTACTATTGGAATATACAAGCTACAATATCCCAGTTTGTCATAACCGGGATTCTGCTTTATTCGGGATACTGAAACCGGGATACTGCGTATACATGCACCATGACGAATCCGGGATACTCAAAAAACCTGATCATAACCGTGATACTGATGTACATGTGTACACACTCTATAACTATCAACACAACTAACTGTAAAACAATGCATTGTAAAAAGGTATCCATTTTTATAATGGGTTACACTTTATAATAACTACACTTATTCCTGCCTAGTAAAACATGAAGAAAGATAATTCATAATGAACAAATAGTTAATTAAGAAAGATTCAGGCTTTGTAACAACTTATAAAACTTATAATTTATATGGCCCAACCCTAAATCCTGACCATAATCCCTTAGTTACAGTTGCTAAGCCTGAACCTTTCTTAATAAACTACTTGTTCATTATGAATTAAATCTTTCTTCATGCTTTATTAAGTGCATATGACAGGTTTTCATTTTTCTCTAATTTCTACTTAATTTGGTGGAATAATACCTGTTGTAAATATAAATTATAATATAGAATGTTTAGTAAAATCTTAAATATAATAATCTTAACTGTATTTGGTGAAATGTGTCATCCTCTCTGACATTGGTACTTCAAGGCTAATTAAGTTATTATAGTGTTACCAGTATATTTTCCTCTCCCTGTCTGACCCATGTTTTGTTACAGATGGGGGGCAGTCGAAATGCAGAATGGAGAGGACCCAGGCTTTGGAGCAGGCTCGCAGACCGCAGGAGGCCATGTTTATCCCCGAATGTAACGAAGATGGGACTTTTGCTCAGGTCCTTCATCTTAATACCCCTCCCCATTCCCAGCCCATGAGACAAAGAGCATTCTGTCCAATAGCTGTTCCCCATTAGCAGTTTTTGGCTTTGATTCCTTGTGTTTTGTTGTTTTAACGCTGGCTAATGAAATATTATCTATCTGCATCTTATTTGTGCGTTTCATGTTTTATTGGTCCCAGGTCCAGTGCCATACGCTGACAGGATACTGCTGGTGCGTCACAAGTGATGGGAAACCAGTGAGTGGCTCCTCCGTGCATAACAAGACGCCAGTGTGTTCAGGTAAAGTCTGGGAAATATTTGGGAAATTCACTGTAGTTGAGTTTTGCTATACGTTTTATAGCATCTGTCCTGCATTAATTTTATACCAGTGTGCTCAGGTAGAACATCTGGGAAATTTGAGGGGAAAATATTTGGGAAAATATTTGGGAATTTTGGGGATTCTGTAGCATCTGTCCTGCATACCAACATGACGGCAATAGGTTTAAGTAGAAAATCTGGGAAATTTGAGAAATTTTGTAGGGAAAATTGGGGAGAAATTTTGGGGAGAAATTTCTGTACATTTACTACTTTTGGGAATATGTAGCATCTGTCCTGGATTAGTGCCATACTGACAAGATGTCAATGTGTTCAGGTAGAAAATCCAGAGAATTAGGGAAAATATTTGGGAGAATTCACCATAGTTACCTAAATTGTGAAATGCGAATGTAAAAATATTTAGGAAATTTCTCTACATGAGTGAGTTTGAGTTTTATGAGTTACAAGAAAATCTGAGAATTTGGGAAAATATTTGGGAAAATTCACTATAGTTACTGAAATTCTGATTTTGCTGTACCTTTTATAGGATTTATTCTGTATTAGGTCTATACCAGTAAGATGCCAGTGTGTTCAGGTAGAGAATCTGGGAAAATATTTGGGAAAAATTCACTGCAGCTACCAAATTGAAAGTTTTACAAGTTTTGGGATTTTGTAGCATCTGTCCCACATTAGTTCCATAGCAACAAGACATCAGTGTGTTCATGCAGAAAATCTAGGAAATTTGGGAAAATATTTGGGAAAATTAACTATAGTTACCTACATTTAAAGTTTTACAAGTTTTGGGATTTTGTAGCATCTGTCCTGCATTAGTTCCATACCTCAAAATTAGGTTTAGTGCAATCAGAACAGATCTGATCCATGCCAAGCTAAAGCTACAAATGAAACAGGCTGCATTCCGATCACAGGTGCAGAATTTTAGCTGCATCATTGAGAGGTTAGAGGTTAAGTTGGGCTAGGATAAATAAGGATAAATCAGAAAAATATAACTCTCCCTCAAGACAAGCCTATTCCATATCATAAATATGTAATAATATGCTAAAAATATATGCAAATACACCACAAATCAGTCAAATGACTTGGTGTTATATGGGTGTTGACTGGAGCTTTTGTCCACTGACTACTACTTCAATTGGACACATTTAAGCATGCTTTCAAACTTATCCTTTATCTTGGTTTGTAGACTTGGTTTGGTACTGTTCAACTCCTGGCTTAGTCTTGGTTTAGTCCAGGTTTAGATCCAGTCTTGCCCTAATTTTAATGTGGTGTATTGTTTGAAGTTAATGCGTATGGGCTGCAACATCCGCCATGCTTTTTTAACCAAATGAAGGTTGAAATATGGTGCCTGAAGGCTTCTTAAAAGTGAATCAGATTTAGATTTTTGAATAATGTTTCTCTCTTTGTAATAACATCTCTTGGCAATTGTCTAGATAACATATATCAAAATGTAATCATGATTGTTTTAATAGTTAACTATGATCAATAATTGTGGCATGTACATTTGAACATTAACCGAAATGTGAACAGAAAACATAAATTCCTCAGTAAATGTGTTCGGTGAAAGCGTGAGAAGTCTGCAGTGTGAGTGGGGTCGTTGAGATACAATTAAAGGAGTGTGTGTGTAAAGGCAGAACTGGGGCACATGTGTACTTCATGTGCCTACAGCAGGTGCTTGGGGTCAGACAGGAGGCTAATACCCTCCTGCCCCCTCCTGCACCCCTACCCCTCCTGCCCCACACCAAAACCCTTGTCTGCCTGTCCGGGATGGGAACACTTTATGATAATCACAGTCATTTTCCTGCGAAGATAATACTGGGGCGTTTGGCCAGAGTTGGATTGCAGCGTCACTGGAGCTACATATGGAGCACATTTGGAGCAGAGTGGTGAAAGTGGTCGCATGCCCTCCTCTGCTCCTCAACAGATGTACAAGTTTTCATTCACCGCATAGCTGCGCATAGTTTAGATTCACTTCATCCTTTTCCAGCGCAGTATTTCACTCCACGCATATTCCTGGTCTAACAGAATATTTGAACACACTTTTCAGTTTAGACATTTTCAATTCCAGTTCTCTAAAACACTCCCAGAATGAAATGTTGACCCTTAATGAATATTTTATCTTTTTTCCCTCAAAAATAGGAAGAGTCCTACATTCTGTCTAACTTGCCAAAAGTGAGCTTTATTCACAGTAAAGCAATATTTCGGCAACTAGGCCTTCATCAGGCAAAAATCTATTTTTTTCTCCCCAGTTGTTTTATGTTGATACAAAGTAAAATAATTACACAAGTTTTACTTTATTTTAAATATTAACATTAATATTTAGATAAAAAAGGTAACATAATTTATTAATTTTTTGGTATGGATTCCATTATTGATCCACTCCATAGTTGATGTTAGTGAGCAATTTTGACTTTTGCAGTTACTGGTCAAATTATAAAATAGTAAAAAAAAGAAAGCTACTGTAGATTTCCCTTTACCTGTTTACCTGGGACTGGTTTCCCTTTACCCTTCACCTGGGACTGGTTTGTGGTGTTGATTTTTCTAACTTTCAGTTTACTAAGACTCAAATCAGTCCTGTCACATTCATTTGCTGGAAACTATTAAACAATAAACTATTAAACTATAAACTGAATTTATGGGAATTCATGCTGAGACATGGATTATCAGGTAGTAGCTTGCTTTTTAGTTCATGCAAAATATCTCCATCTCTCTTGTGTAACATTTGTATTGGAGGGTCTGTCAAATGCTTGTCTCCATGGAGATGTTACTGCTTTGTTTAGAATGTTACACAGTATAGTATTAAATCTTTCTATCATTATGAAGACTAAACCAGACCAAGTTACAGGTCAGATCTGTGGAGAAGCAACCCTGCTCACAATCAGAATGCCCTTTTTTCTAGGTATTTTTGAGCTATAAAACCACCTGTAACTGAATACATGTAAGGTAGAGCTGTTTGAGAGTGAAAAAGTTACACAGTGCATCTAAAAAAACAACAACACACATTTTCCCTCACTTCCTGCGCGAATCCCTGCTGCTTCCATGTACCAGTGGGCAGAGAACAGTTTTGCTCACACATGGGTCAGATTAGGCGGGTTTGTCAGTGTTGGGATAATGTGTTTTGGTATGTGTCCACCTTAAGTACTAACAGAATGTGCTCATCGAACTCTAATAAACCAGGGAAATCACCCTCACACTTGACGTCAATGGGGTCCACTGCAGCACCTGTGTTTCATTATAACAGATACATTTTTTAAGGAGGACACTGCAGAAAATTTCGATTAAATCTCGATTCTATTAAAGGGCCAATATTACACTATTTTCTGATCTATGTTATAATATTATTTCCTCATCAGAAACAGACCTGGAGTTGTGCTTTGTTTCATTCACACATGTTTAACACACAAACCCTGCATATTTAGATTCTAGTTCTTCTCTCAAAAAAAACCCTCCCACTATGTTTCACCTTGTAATACAGGAAGTGCTCTGCTGTTTTTTTAAACTCCATACACCTTTACTAAAATCATTTGGATGCTTTCAGCTGTAGAATTGCCTATCTTTGCTGAGCAAAAAATAAAAAGTAGCTGTTAAATTGAAATCTTCTGCTTTATGACATCACAAGGTTGAACAGAGCATTTTGAACTTTTGGAGATTTAGAGAGACTAATAATGAAGGATTTCTCAAATGTGTGAATGAAACAAAACACAATTCCAGGTATGTTTTCATCAGGCAAAAACATGAATTAAAGCTCACGAGAGCAAATTTTGTGTAATATAAGACCTTAAAAATACAAACAAACAAACCAACAAACAAACAAACAAAAAAACACTTGAATTTGAATACTGATTTGAGTTTTGACTAAAATGTATTTATTTAATGGGTGAAGATCATAACTTTTTTCTCAGCTGTTTTAATTAGGCTCTGTTTATTATTTGACATTATTATTTATCAATTTAATCAAGCCAAGATATATATTTTTTGGAATGTAAAGCAGCTATTGTTTTTTTTTCAATTGATAATTTCTTTTATAACATTATTGTGTGTTTTATCCAGGATCAGTGACAGACAGGCCGCCAGGTCCAGTCAACTCAGGCAGAAAAGGTGAGATGAGATCTGCTGCAGGATTTGTGCATGATTTCTTGTGTTTGAGTTTGTATCAAATATGTATCACATGTAACGGTTTCAGCCTTCGTTATATTTAACATGTGTTTTAGTATAGAACCCCAGTATAACCCATGTTTTTCCCATTAATCCTTGACAAACTCAGTTAATATATAATATAAATTATATAAATTATATATACAAATCATATAAATAAAGTATGCAACATGTAGATGACAATGCTGTTTGTCTATGTTGTTTGTGGCTTGCATGTGATTTGACTGTTTTCTTAAGGGAAGTTGGAGATGCTTCAAAACTCCACTTTGGTGAGTATGTTATAAAGGGACTGTGTCTTCACTTTGTACACCAACAAGATTTAGAGCAACTGGAGTATGAACAAGTGGTAAAAATACAATACTTCATGTTGGTCTAATAATTACTTTATAGCAGTCAATGTGTTTATCCAATCTATCCAGTGAAATCAAATTTTATAAAGTGCTTTTCAATCTAAAATTTAACACAAAAAACTTAACAGTCATAAAACACACAGTAAACAGTTTCTCAGTTTGGCAGTAATATTTCCTTGAACTAATATAACTGGGGTTCACAGTGATGAGTTGGCATAGCAATTAAAGTATACTTTATTAATGCCACTTCATTCTCTGCATTTGACCCATCCTTCAGGCGCAATGTTTCCCTCCTGGAGTTAAGTATATTTTTAGTTTTAATGGGGTGTTGGTGGATTTTTGAAGGCATGAGAGCAGATGTGATGTTTGCGTGGTTTGTGCTGAATGTTATTTGTGTGAGTGTGTGTAAAGTGTGTAAAGTGTGGACATATGAATGAGACTTTTGTGTTTGTGCGTGTTCATGTTTTTGTCCTGTGTGTTGTGGCCGGGCCATGTGCAAATCCCAACCATTCAACAATTCTGGAGAGTAGATTGTATTAACCTCAATAATGGTAGTCTCCTTCCGTTTCTTTCTCACTCTCAACCCAGACGACGGATCCAAGCCCACCCCCACCATGGAGACCCACGTGCCCCCCGAGGGAGACGGTGAGTCCCAAACAAATCTCGATCACATTTCTGGTCAGTGTTTAGTCATTTATATGGAAGAGTGTCAAATGGTCTGAAACGTGTCTTTGCAACAGTCACTACAAAAAAATGTTTTAAGGTTTTGACTTTATAGTGATAAATGATAGTATTATTTATCCATGAAGGAAGTTGATCTAATTTGGAGCATGCTTTCAGTTATAAAAAATTAAATACACATTATAATTTTTAAATTTCAATTACAGCCCCAATTTATTATTATTATTATTTTTTTTTTTTTGGATATGTTTTTTTTTATGGTCGATGCTGATACCAAAGTTTGCAATCCAGAAAAAAAACAATGGCCATAAGCTTTGTTGATATTTTTAGGAATAGGGCTGATTTTGATAATTATCTATTTAAATTTACTACAAACTTATCCACAGTCGTTTTTAGCACAAACCTATAAGAGTGTTGTGTAATCACGTTTTGTGCAGTTACCTCTTTGTGTTTAAGTGTTCAAATAAAGCATTATACATTCTTTAGGCAGCAGGTTGACCAAAACTAAATTTCGGCCACTATTGGAGATTTAAAGCTGGTAGCCAATTCACTAAAAGGTGCAAACATCTTCTAATCAATATAGCGGTGAAACAATATATCTGTCTATTTATACAGTTTTGGGTAAGTCAATGAACGCCTGTTTTGAGCGACCATAGATTTCTACAGATGAAGATTATACCTGAGGGTAATGCCAATGCATAGAACATGGAAACTATTAATTTACTCAAGAAGCTGTTCTATATTGTTTACGGAATACTAAAAGGCCAAATATATTTCTTTTATTATTATTTTCTCCATATCTTTTTTTCAGTAATTGTAATGATTTTGTCTCAATGAAAAATCTCTCTACTGAAACCTGAAAGAATAACTCCAGTGCCCAATCCTCTTAAAGTCTGTGGTTTTAAAGCAAAGCCTGATTGTCAAAACACAGTGTCAGATACTGAGAAATATCTCTGTTACACTGGATCCTGGTCTGATTTGTAGTGCAGGTTTTTGGCTTGTGGATACAGACTGGAGTTGGCAAAGCATCTCAGACTTCAGTGATAAAAAGAGCCAGCTAAAGATGTGTCTTTTCTTTTCTTTCAGAGATCACTGCTCCGACTCTGTGGATCAAACAGCTGGTCTATAAAGAGAACAAGCAGAACAGCTCCTCAGCCAGAAAACAAGGTGAGAGGCAAGCATGGGACCCATCACTGGTGAATGTAAAGCTATACATCCAATAAATAACATGTAGTCTGTTTTCATTGTTGCCCATTAGAGGTCATTGTGCCATATGTCTGATTTTTGATATTTAGTAAACCTTTCAGTTTCAGTGCCACAGTATTTATTAGTACAGCAGTTGCGAGACTCATTAATGTTATATAAAAAAAATTAAACATTTTAAATAAAGTAGGGCTATAATGACTTTTCACTGACATTGATTATTCAAACTAGGTCTCTTTGTCTTGTTGTCTAGAAGCCCTCACAGACCGGCCTCATGTTTGCACAATCCTTTATTCACTTTGTATGGGCCATAAGAGTGATTTAAAGAGATGCCGGCGTTTGTTTAGGAAGAAAAATGGCTAAACTATTTTTCAAAATAAATGTTTGTTGCCAGATTTTTGTCAAGTTGCTCAGAGGTTGAGATCGACATTGTCATGAAGCTCATTTATAACACTAAAAACTCACATGCGACCTTTACTTTATTGTGGTGTGGAAAAAACAAAAGAAAAACAAACACAAAAAAAGATTTAGTGGGATAAAGTCAGCCAAGGCTGAGTCCATATAAAACGTTCAAGTCTATAAAATTGTTTTCCATGTAAATCCTAGTTTAGTGACCACCTGTAGAAATCATTTTCAACTCCTCACAGTTAAAGGTGCACTATGTAACTTTTTGGTTGAAGGTCCGTCACCTGCTGGTTTCTATGGATATATCATTGCTCTGCCTGGAATGTTCCTTAGCATGACATGGCCTCTCCATAGACCTGACCTGTAACTTGGTCTGGTTTGGTCTCCAAGAAGATAGAAAGAATTAATACTATTAACAATCCAGACAATGCAATAACCATGGAGAAAAGCATTTGACAGACCCTCTACTAGAAAAGTTACACAATACACCTTTACGTACACTTATTTATGTATATATGAATGGTAGGACATCTCTAGTGTTTTAGAATACACAATCCATATATAACAAGGCTATAATTGCTAACATTTCTACAATTCTAACCATAGAGAAGGTGTGTAAACAATATTGCAGTGATTATCGACAGCTGAGAGCGATTGTTGCTAACAAAATTGCTTGGGCAAAGCAAAGGAAATGGGAAAAAAAGTAGGAAAATTGGCAAAACACTGACCACATGCAACAGAGTGGGCATAAAACACCAAACTTGTTTATAGACAGAAAAAAACAATGAAAACAGTTTATAACAATCCTACAAAAGTCATGAATGCAGCTCTGCTCATGACAAACTAGATGGATTGTTTTGAATGCCGATGGGCATGTCGATGGCCGATAAGTTCTGCCAATATGCATTTTTGTGCTAAATTACTGAGCCTTTTTTCACCACAAACCCATAAGAGAGCTGTGTAGTTGCATTTTTGCAACAGGTATCTATTTGTACTAAAGTGTTCAAATAAAGCTTTATGGGTTTTCAGGCTGCAAGTCACCAAAACATAGTATTGAACCGTGCTGGAAATTTAAGGCAGTTTGCCAATACTCTAAAAAGTCTGAATTATCAGTCTATCTCTAGAGAAAACAACTGATAATTTATAATGAAAATGAACTGTGGGACTTTAATTTAAATCCGCATTACAAATGAAAACTAGAGCCTGATAAATGTAATGCTTTTTACTTTTTGTCTGATGGAAGAAATTTGAGAATTGTGTTGAATTTTCTATGACACTGATTAACTTAAAATTTTGTGTTGAATGTGTGAAGAGAGGGTTCAGACACACACTTATTTTTTATTTTCTGTATTATTTTATATATTATTTTTTTGCCTATTTTTATTTTTTATTATCTTTTTGGTCTATTTTAATTTTGCTAAATATTAAAATAAATAATAAAAACATATATTTAAAAAAAAAATCTATAGCAAACAATAACCTAACTATCATCATGTCCACTGTAGTTTCCAATCAGAGCCTGCTGCAGAATCTGCATTACTGTTCAAATCTCATATTGTCATCTTTATTATATTATGAATGCGCCTCGAGGAGACATCTACAACAATGAGCTAATTGTTACAGTGATTCTTGGCCCACTCTGTGTGTGGCTTCAGTCCTTTTGTTTTGTTTTAAAGAGCCTCAGTTTCCGTCCATTCAGCCTCTGCCAAACACAACAGTCATTTAAATTAAAGAGGAAAGAATCAACTCAAAATAAATAGGACCGAAATAGAGACAGAGAGAAAGTATGCGTATTAATATATTAAGTTTCATACACACTGGCCTTTTACATTTAAATGCAGCTAAATGATTTCCTTTTGCAAATCCTGACACTAGAATAAGTTTAATATATTAAATAGTGTTAAATTATACAGATATTAGAAACTTGGCAAAGACTTAAGAAACACCGAAGGAAGCCTACTGGAGAATGACACTGCACTCAATCATAGCTAGTTTTTGTTGCTTAAATGATAACTAAAGACTTTAATTTTCTAACCTAAAGTCAAATCAGTGCCAGCAAGTTTTGATCGATACTTTGCAGCTGATGTCCTCAACATTCCCTGGGAGTTTGATGCTAACTGTAAGCACTGCTCTATCTAAGGCTTTGTTAGACTTTAATTTGAGCTTTAATCTGTGCTGTAAAACAAGTCTATTTCTGTTTTTCTTTAATAATTTCAGTATGGATTTTGTGAATATTTAAGCACAAATATCCAACAACACAAACATACAATAATCCAAAGTCACAACTTGCATATTAAATTATTGGATTTTGATTTGATTAAAGGAACACAGTGTAACTTTCTGGTGGTGACATATCAAAGTTAAAACTACACTTAACATACACTATGACATTCTTCAGATAGATTATGCCTTTAAAATTTCCATGGAGACAAGCAGGAGGAATGTTTCACATTAAACTCGTTCAAGACAGTATTCAACTTTACATTGACCCTTTTCTCTGCGTTATATTGTAATCCACTTGACCCTAAAGTAAAGAATGGCTCCTGATTGGTCGGTACACTTCATCTCCATGGTAACAGTCTGATGTTGTTCTGGGCTGAAGAGAGAGCCGTGCACCAAATGGATGTGAATGTAAATAATGAGAGAACAGGACAAAGTGCAGCAAGAGCAACTTTCAAAAGGAACTTTTGTCGTTGCCCAAAAAGTTACCAATTTGAAATAATATTTTAGTTATATATAGGATTATTTAGTCCTTTCCTCTCAAACAGAAAACACTCTGTTCCACCTTGTGATGTCATGTAGTAATACAGGAAGTGCTCCACTGTGCTTTTAAACTCTATCCACTTTTACTTTCAGCTCTAGAATTGTCAGTCTCTATTGAACTAAAGGCAAAAGGTAGCAGTTAACTTGAGAACTATGTCTGCATGACATCACAAAGTGGAACAGAGCATTTTGAGCTTGTGAGGTATAGACAGAGTTATAGTTAGTTAGTTATTGTTAGTTATAACATTATAACGTGGCTTAAAGTTCAGAAAAAGACTCAATTTCATGTAATATAATTGTAGCCCTATAGTAATTTGGTCATATTGGTATGTTAATATTCTATCTCTGTGGTTGTAGAGAAGGTCCCCTCTTGTGACCAGGAGAGGCAGAGCGCTCTGGATGAGTCTCGGTTGAACCCCCGAGAGGCCATCTTCATCCCAGACTGTGGGCCTGGGGGTCTGTACAAACCAGTGCAGTGTCACCAGTCCACGGGCTACTGCTGGTGTGTGCTGGTGGACACAGGGAGACCCATCCCAGGCACCTCCACCAGGTCAGAGTAAACTTTAACACAAACACCAGCTGCTTTTATATGCTGTTAGAAAGGTGATTCTGTGTCTTATGTAAATATGAAGATAAAATACAAAATTTCACAACTTCATTACTCTATTGACATTCTTAAAGGTGCTGTGCCTGAGTTTTACTGTCATAAAAAAAAATTAAAATCAGAACTAGTTCATTTTAAACAGTTTGCAGTGGTCCAAAGTTTTTCCTAAATTTTCACTGTTATGAATTTATAACCACTTTTCAGAACTTTCAGAGGCCAGTGCAGACTTTGCCATCACTGTAATGCTAACAAGAACTAGCTTGTTAACGTGAACTAGCATACTAATGACATCTAGCATGCTAACACACACTTTCTGATTGTTTTATAATTATATGCAGACAGTACAGTGCAAAACTTGCCCAAATACAATAAAAATACAGGATCGAGGTACAGGAACAAACATTTTTGCCTATGTGTGTTATTTTTTTTTACAAACTATATGCTTTTATTTTACCTTATCTTACCCATATTTAGTTATTTATTTAGATACTTATTTTTATAAATAGATAATTGGCTATTGTGACCCCAATGCAGATATAAGCCTTTTCCGAGATACTTTATGACTGTATTTAATTTCTATGTTTCACATTCAAATCACATTATGCACATTTGAAATACAATTTGGCAACACATCACACAGTGGAAAAAGCAAAACAAACAACTAATGATATTTTAGTTTCATGTTGATTTGAATCAAAATCTAGAGTCTTCAGATCCATTATTCACTGTTAGACTGTGGCCAGGATAAATATAAGCATGCCAGTTTGTCTACGCCCATATATCACTTGTATTTTATCAGGAAGTTTAATGATCAAATTCATAAACAATAAAGTAAGCTATTTTCTGTTGGCAGGGTTCACATCACATTTTTGTACTTTGTTGTAACAGATATGTCTACATTTATATTACATTGATATTTTGTTATTGTTACAGATACCGGACTCCAGAATGTGACAATGCTGCTCGCTCTCGAATAACAGACACAGAGGACCCCTTCCCAGGTAGAGAGATCACAGGTAAAACTCTTGATTTTATTTGAGGAGGCATCTGGAGCTGGAGATGGCTGTATTTCTGCTTTAAATATCTAAAATCATAATTATATAATCATGTCATTATGCATAAATGTGTACAATGTAACTTTTCTGGTGTCTCTATAGAGGTGTTATTGATTTAAGAATGTTGGATGGTATGGCATTGAACTATCTCTGTGGAGAGGTGTGTTTTCTAAGGTATTTATTTTAAAACTAACACTGTAAAATCTGTAAATGAATAATTGCAAAATGCAATGCTTTACTCTGGAACATTTCAGGTAAGATACTAACATTTCCATAGAGTCAAGCAAGTATCAGACCCTCCAGCAGAAAAACATGGAAACACTATAGCTACACTTTTTATAGCTTTAATAAAGCATGAACAAAGACTTAATTCATAATATTTACAGAAAATAAAAAAGTTTTAAAAGTATGATTTAGGATTAGTAATGCAATTACTCCCCTAATCCTAACTCCTAACCCTTTAAACAGTTACAAGCCAGTATCATTCTTAATAAACTATACATTACAAATTAAGTCTTCATGCTTTATAATGGCAAATTAAGTTATTATAAAGTGATACTAAAGAGCATCTTTAAACAATAAGTGATCAAACAACAGAATGTGTGGATTTTGAACACTGTCTTGTTGAGTCCATGTTGTTGCTCTGTTGCTGGTGCTGCCGCTGTGTTCAGGTCCAAGCTGTAACTCTTATTTAATTCCCATCTGGTGAGTTTACAGAGTGGAGCATGACTCCTGACTGAGAGGCAGATGTGCTGTGGTTTAGTAAAGGTGTGAGAGCGGAGAGGGAGGGGAGCTGAGGGGGGTGAGGGGGGGCTAAGGGGACTACAGAAAGAGGAGCTGAAAGCAATGGTTCTGTAATGGTATGCTCTTGGTTTAAACCTGGTTGTCCTACATTTGCTGTGATCTGCACTATAGTTAATGTTTCTGGTTGTCACTGCAGGTTTGCATTGGCTTAGTCAAGTTTTTAGTAATGTGACACAACATTATAGCTATATGGTTTATATATATTTAACTATATTATATTTTCAATTACACAGTACATTTTTGTTAATGAATTGAATGTTTGTATGGTTTCATCATCCAGCACCCTTTGAAAATTTGCCCCCCTGGAAAATGTAACTGAAGATCCCTGTTCTATACTGCTCTAGTCTGCATATGTCCAAAACTTAATCTTTGGATATGAGATGTTAAAGGACAAAGTTTATTTGCTTTTCTGCGGCCAAGATTGCTTAGATGAAATCCAATTTGTTCAAATTAGAAACAGCTTGTAAAATAATTATTGCCTAAATATAAGTGAGTCACGATGGCAGCCAGCAGCCAAGTTTTCCAATTGAGCTAATAAAAGCAAAGAATTTCTAAATCTGCAAACAGCAATTTTTGGAGAGTCATGCATGTCCAAAAATGTCCATCTTTTTTTTTTAGCAATGCCCTGAAATATGTATAAGACATGAGACTGAGGCATCACAATTTTGTATTTACTTTATTGCATATTTTTTTTACTGTTACTGTAGCACTGCTTTTTGGACCAAAAATTTACTTAACCATTTTATGTTCAATCCAAATGTAAACAAAGGGGGAGGGGGGGAGGGGGGGGAATCCCCTACAAGATCATTTTTCTCATGCGTGCACAATTTTGTTTTGTCTCGTGAGATCTTGTGGTATGAAATCTGGTCCCATCCCTAATTGTGATGATACATAACAATTTACTGTTTATTCACAATAAACAACATTGAATTGAAATTTTGCCTCTTTTTGTACTTGATGACCTGAATAATAATCATTATTGATTAACCAAATAATCTTAACATACCTAATAGAAAGATAAGGGAATCGAATGTTAATGTAATATGACGAGAAAGTAAATCACTACATTTATTTAAACTCAAACAACTTTAAAGGTGAACTGTGCATCTTTTCTGGTTAAGGGTATGCCATCTGCTTGTCTTCATGGATATGTTGTTGCTTTGTCTGGTATGGCATTAAACGTATCCATCTTGCATTTATTCAACAACATGGATTTTTATTGCTTTGAAAACATGCATTGGTAATTCATGTAACTTAAGCCCTATGGCATTGTCTTCTGTCTCTGCCATACTGTGGAACATTTCAGGCAACATTTCCATGGAGAGAAGCTGGTGATGGACCCTCCACTAGAAAGGTTACACACTGCACCTTTAAGGATGTAGTTTTGGTCCAGTGTGCACTGCTTTTAACACTTCACAACATTAATTTCTTCAGTATGACACTGTGTTCCACATAACTCCCCAATTTAACACTTGGATTAAAACACTGTTGTGTTGGACATACTAAATGAAGTCAACTGGACTAGTAGGGCACTAGACCACCTCATGTGTACCAGCTATCAACGTGAACCAAAATGGAGGGATAGAGGAGGGAGGAGGAGGGGGGACAAAAATGAGTTAAAGGTGCACAGTATAAATTTTCTGGTGGAGGATTCGCTACCTCCTTGTCTCCTGTTGTTGCTTTGTCCAGAATGCTACATAGTATTGCATTAAACATATCTATCTCCATGGAGACGAAAAAGTGACACCACCATGCCAAGTTCCACGTCAGATCTGTGAAGAGGTGACCCTGCATGTGCTCATGTTTTTGTAAGCAATAAAAACACCTGTAATTGAATAAATGCAGGATAGATAGAGGTTTAATGCTATACTGTGGAACATGTGAGGCAAAGCAATCAAATCTTCATGGAAAAAATCAGATCACAGACCGTCCAGCAGAACAGTTGTTTATCACAATGAGACAAGTTAATGGTCAGCTCTATAAAAAAAGCAAGCCTGCACATAGTAAGAATTCATGTTTTTCAAAGTATTTCTGAGCTATAAAACACCTGTAACTGAATAAACGCAAGGGAGATATGTTTACTGTGGAACATTCTGTGCAAACAAATAACATCTCCATGGAGAAAATCAAGTAGCGATCCCTCCACCTTAGAAGTTACATAGTGCGTCTTTAACTTCACAGCTGCGTTTGAAGTGCACTTTTTAGAGACACAATTAGGGGGGAAAAATTTGCTCGGTTTGAACATGCTATTAAAGACCATACATCTGGACAATTACCGTGAGCTACCCAAGGTGTTCTGAATCATGTCATAAAGTTTAACAGGTCTGCTCGCTGCTCCACACTTTCAGCTCCACTTTACTCCATGGGCCTCACCAAAGAAACCTTACAAAACAACCAAACAATGTACTTCCTCTGCTTACACTATCTGATTCACCTGTTATACTGCTATACGGCGGATATAGGACTTTTACTACCGCACCGGCCCATGTGTGTGCAGGTCTATAAGCTTTAATGGCTCAGATTAGTTGCAGAATGTAACTGTGCTGTTTTGTCTTCAGGCTGCCCAGAAGGGAAGAAAGTGGAATTCATTACAAGCCTGTTAGATGCCCTCACAACAGACATGGTGCAAGCTATAAACTCACCAGCCCCCTCTAGTGGTGGGAGGTAAGTACATGTTACACATTAGAACAGTACTACTCAGTGGGAGTTTACAAAATTATTTCAAGACATCATGTATTTAGTTGTTTTATACTGTAAACACTATATTTTAGTGAAAATAGGTCATATCACCCAAGTAATGATTCAAATGAAAAAAACATGAAACCTGATTTAACCAGTTTTTCAGCTTCAGTTTAATACCATCATTAATTTTATTCCATAATGGCGGTCTGAGTTGGTTGCATTGTCATTTTGTGAGTTCTGGTCTCCAAAGTTTGGTTAAACCCTACTAAAGAGCATGCCTATTTTTGGCTATTATATGTCAAATTCCAAGATAAGGTTGTAGCTGCATAATAAAAAAAAAATCTGTCATCATTAAAATTATTGCTCCATTCAATTACAAAAAAGTGTAAATGATTTAGACATTAGGTAATTATTCATACTTTGGAGTGACAGCATGCTCAGGGTCTTCTACATGTATCTCGATTGGTGGAATGTTCAGCAATCATCTCAGCTGTTAGATCCAACCAAATCAGTTCTTTCTGGTCCGATTGTTTTAAAAATGAAACTCAGATTAAGTTTAACTTGTGTATCAGAGCTTCTAACAGAGCAGTGCTTTCAGTTAGCTTCATATCCCCAGGGAATGTTGATGCCATCAGCTGCAAAGTATCAGTACGTCTCCCTTTCTTCTATTAGGTCACAAATGTTTCATAAGATGTAAATAATGACTCCAATCATTTTATTTGTTTTTTCAAACAGCCCTGTTGAATTTATGTGTTTGTTTATTTATTGTTTATTTGAATAGGGACAGACATAGATGAACAATTCAGCAATTGCTATTAAATTCACTTGTCTGTGGTCATTTTGTTTGTCTTATCAAGGAAGGAGAAAAAAAAATCCCTCTTCGTTTGTTTATTGAATAATTCTAGCTAACTTTTGGTCCCAGGTTTGTTGAGCCTGACCCGAACCACACTCTGGAGGAACGTGTGGTGCACTGGTACTTTGCTCAGCTGGACCTAAATGGCAGCCATGAGATCAACAAGAAGGAGCTGAAACCTTTTAAGAGATACCTGAAGAAGAAAGCCAAACCCAAAAAATGTGCACGAAAGTTCACCGACTACTGTGATCTGAACAAGGACCGGTCCATTTCGCTGCAAGAGCTGAAGGGCTGCCTGGGCGTCGGCAAAGATGGTAAGGAGCTAGGAAAGGAGACAAGGAGACAAGGGGGTAGGATTTAGAGTGCAGAGGGGTTAGCAAAGGTCACTACGGCAGTGTGAATCAGAGGCCAGCTGGGGTCATGCTAATTTGTCTCACCAAAATCATTGCAGGGACAGACAAAGACAAATGCAATGAATATTAGTTATGCGAGAAAGAGTCTCCATGATGATTTAATTTCTTTGTGTGGAAATTTACACAGTATGGCATTAAACGTATCAATCTCCATTGAGACAAGCAGATGATGCAGATCTGTAGAGAGGTGACTCTGCACACAGTAAGAATACATAGTGATTCTTTAGCAATAAAAACAGATACAGTGAAATAAAACCTGTGTAGAATGTCTTACAGTGGAACATTTCAGGCATAGCAATAGCAACTCCTTAGAGATAAGCAGGTGACATGTTCCTCACCAGAAAAGTTAAATAATGCACCTATAAAAGTCCAGTATTATGCAAAATTGACACTTCAGGTTAGAATCAAAAATCTTTATAGCTACTTTTTACCTTTAGTTCAGTAGAGACTGACAATTCCAGGGCTGAAACTATCCAAATGATTCTAGTGAAGATGTATTTAGTTTAACACAATGGAGCACTTCCTGTATTGCCACATGACATCTACATGTTTTCTGCTTAAGAGAAGAACTTAGCCTAAATTGTGTGCTAAACATAACAAAACATAACATAAGAAAAACACAACTCCAGGTACACTACCGATCAAAAGTTTTAGAACACCCACATTTTTCCAGTTATTTATTGCAGTTCAAGTCGTGCAAGTCCAATAATTAGCTTGAAATGGTACAAAAGTAAATACTGAAGAGTCAGAGGTTAAAAAAAGGATAAAAGATACAAAACACAAGTCCAAGCTCTGCCAACACTACCTCAGGAGAAAAGGACAAGATGGTAAACTTGAAAACATGGAGTGTCCAGCACAATCTCCAGACTTAAACACCATCGAGCTGGTTTGGGATGAACTGGACAGAAGAGTGAAAGCCAAGCGACCTACAAGTGCCACACATTTAATAAACAGTAAACAATAAACAGTAAAAAACTGGAAAAAGTGTGGTGTTCTAAAACTTTTGACCAGTAGTGTATGTTTTTGACGAGAAAACAACATTATAACAGATCTCAAAATAGTGTTATATGGGCCCTTTAAGTTAGTATATTTTATGTTAAAGATTAAGTATGATTATCTGTTTTGCAGGTAATGGAAACCAGGGGACACGGCAAGGGACAAATCTATTCAGTAAGGCACTTTATTAATTTGCTTTCCTTGTTTTAGCCTGCCCCAATCAAGTACCCATAATGCAAAACCTATAATAATATAATTTGAGGTATAGGTCACCATGTCATCAATAATAAGTGTTAGTTTAAAAAATAAATATTGTCTTTGAATAGAGGCCATTTCTTATATGTGGTGGCACTGGGCAGTTTTTGCTTGATTAGACGTAATAAATTGTAGAAACCCAGGTTCAGACAGATTTACTGGCTGTTATAAGCAACTGAGAAAATATTACGTGTAATGGTGTGTTATGAGCCGTTTACACAGACCTCATAAAAACGAGGTACTACTTTTTTCTTCTCTCTAGATCTACACATTTGTCTTAAGATGTAGTAATTTGAGATACTGTTATGTAGCATCTAGACTCTATAAAAGTATTATTATTATTAATATTATCTAGCTGTGCATTGCTTCTGTGTATTTTTATGTGTTAGTATTAGTCCCATTGGTGCAGTTGTGGTTGAGGGTTCAGCTCCACTTGTGTGTGAGGTCATGTGTTTAGACTGGCGTTGGCACAGAGCGGCCGTGGCTGGTTCTTTGGGCATAACGTCACAGCTCTCAGGCCTGGTCAGGGTGATGGTGCCAGGGTAAACAGGAGCCGGTATTGGACGAGCAGAGAGGAGGCTACTCTAACTTATGGAATCTCACCTTCACCCACCTGGCTTCATATCCATGGCATTCACAATGATGAGAATTTAAGACCATTGCCATAACAAATGACAATTTAAAACAAAATCTTTTTAATGGTCAAAATGTTGCATATAAATAGAAAACTGAAACCCATGAATAATGTATAATGTAAGCTAATAATTGGAATTAAAAGGGGGAAAAAATTAAAGTGCATTTGCTGTTAGTTCACCAAATGATGCAAAATTGACTCCTTTAGTTACAATATTGTGCCAGTACTTGTATCAGCTGAATATGAGTTTGACCTTATACAGCCTATATATTTTTCCCTGATAAATTTGCTGGTATGACCAATGTGAGTTTGTAATAAAGGGGACAATTATGCAAAATCGACTTTTATAAAATGTTACAATGTTATCGTGGTTATAATGTATTGTCCTGTATTTCAGACTATTTATTTTTTCCCCTACCCACTGTCCTTGCCTACTCCTCTGTACTTACTATTTCAATCCACTTTATTTGTATAACACACTTGGTTATATCTGTCTCTGTGCAGCACTTTGGAAACTACACAGCGACAGATACAAACAATACTAGTAAAACAGTATTAGTCAACCTGCCCAGCAATTTTACTATAAAGCTATCTAAACCTATTAGATAGTACAAAGTTTTGTGCACTGTCCATAGTAAATAAATAAATAAACTAAACTAAGCTACTGTGAAATTCCACTTTGAACAGCAATGTTGGAATTTATAGTAAAAAATACAGATATAAAAGCCAAAAAATGCTCAAGTTAAAGGAAAACGATCACATATCATTGGCTTAAATAAAGTATTAAAGTTAAAAATTTACTTAAAGAGTAAAAAAAAAAAGTTTAGTATTTTGCACAGATTTTGAGCTCTAATAAAGATTCAAATGATAAAGATTAGTTCCAACAGAAATGAAAATTGTTAGTATTTTTCCTAGCTGTTTTTATTTGCATATTTTAGTTTGATTGTTTTACTTTTAAGTCCCATTAAAATGTTGAAATGATGAAAGTACAGATACCTGCTCTCAAATGTAGTGAAGTAAAAGTAAAATGTCCACTTTAAAATCTACTTAAGTAAAGTACAGATATCAAAAATGCATACTTAAGTACCTGAACAGTACTTGAACAAAAAGTCAGTTAACGTTTTGGAAATATATTGTTGTTTACCATGACTGTAAAAGTATAAAATAGTATATTATCATGCATACTCTATAGATTAGATTATATCTTGTCTGTAAATCACCTTAAATTGACACCACTCACCTCATCTGTGTAAACAGTGTGGCTTGCAGTTAGAGCTACTATCTGCGTTGTCTTGACAGCTTTATTCAGCTCTTTATGTGACCACTGGCTGAAGTATGTAGCATATAATGAAAAGAGATGAACAAACCAGTACTCCACATATGGCACCATTCTGCCCTGACTAAGATGGACGGGGGAGCAGTGCAGGTATGAGCGGCTGGATCTCTTTAAGTCGGCCTTACGTTGCCAGGTTTTAAATCTTATCATGTGCAGGATGGTCACAGTGGTGCAGTTGGACATATTTACAGTTAACGGTACGTGCTTTTGTGAGGAAGTCAGGCCCTTAAAGGCAACGTGGAGCACAGCTGTGAGAAAGGACACACTCTAATACACTGGCAAAAGAAAACAAGACAATGTGTTTATAGAGTTTGGGCCATCGGGCAACAAATACATGTGGGAATTAATGAATATAACGTGTTCTAGTCAAACAAAGTGAGGGTAAAATGGTGCTGCCAGTTACTAACAGTTGTTCTCTGTGAGTAAATGGTATTGTCCAAAGCCCAAACATAAGTATTTGATTATTCTTTAGTTTTCTCATCCTAATTTTTAGTGATGACACTTTCGGCTCCTTTTTGAGATCTTTTGGATCGGTTCACTTCAAAGAGTCGTTAAAAAGATTGGCTCTTTTAATGTATTTCTATGACAGAAACCAATGGGAGAACTTATTTTAACAACAAACTAAATCACAGAGAGAAATGACCAAGGCTAAGAATGATTTAAATTGGTTCAAACTGACAGTGTGGGTGTGTTTTCCCTATGAAACTATGAAAATCTAAGTAAAACATTGCACTACAACTTAAAAAATATATATTGCAATATTTTTTGTGCACAAAGCTCATGGTGCATGCTCTACTTCTATACTGATTCTTATGTTATTTCAGCGTTTATCTCTATAAAAATTTAAAAGAAAAATATTTGATTCTTTAAAAAAAAATAATCTGGTTCCAGCTGTTCACAGTAAGACACCGTTCAAAAGAGCCCACTTGTTCATGAAGGTTGCATCACTGATCATTTTGAATAACCGTTTGTAGATAAATCGGTGAATGTGACAGACATAAATAATTAATAGGTTTACTAGTTTCAATGGGTGATACCAGTGCATTTTCTTTTGAAGACTTTTTCCTTGCTCTAACCCAGTTTGAACAGATCTAAAAATAAATATATGTTCAGATAGATTAAAATATAAACAATATATTTAAAATCTTTTTTGAAATTTGATTGAAAAAATTGAAAACTTAGTTTTTGAAGAAATGTTAGATAGACCTGTCAATATTTTTGCATGCCCATCTCAACCCTCAAGCCCCTTCTTCATAAATAAATAGTCCAGTCTGTGACAACTTGACAAATTGAAATAAACTATATCTTGATGCATTTGGACAGACTTAATCAATCATAGATAAAGTGTCACTGCCAACATGGACATTTTTAATCCAAATAAAATACATTGCAGCCAGTGAAAGAAAAGCACAGCACAAGTCAACACTAATTTTGTGAAATATTTATGACTTGTCCTGTAGAATAAATTTGGCAAGAGGAGGTTTAAATGGGGGAAATTCCAGATCCACTTAACTCCACTATGAAGGCAAAAGAGCCCGTGTACACATTAGCAAAACAAGATGCGATGTACACTGAAGCTATCCATGCCTAGAACACGCTGTAGTAGCCTGTAAAAAAACAAACAAATCACTACACAGTTGACGGTGTTGTCTGCAAAATGCTAATTACTTAACGATTTAGGTAAACACATTTGAATAAATACAAACATCTGGTTTGGAGTAACATGCAAAAACTTCACAAAAGCAGTATTTTATTATGATTTATAGTTATTGACACAATTCAGGTCTGGCTCATAAAACACACACTAATTATTTTTGACAGTGGTTATTTACAAACTGTTCAGAATTAAGGGCCCTGGTTTGTGTATCCAGCGCATCTCTGTCACTCCATAGGGATGAATGGGGACATTATGAGGCTGGGTTAGGGCTGTAGCTCCAGTTAGGGCCTGTGTGTCTGAGCCAAGAGCATTACTCCACTCACACTTGTGCTTAATGAAGATGACATCAGAGCCACTCACAACACACATGTAAACACACAACTGCCACTGCCAGCTATAGGAGAGGGACAGGGTTTCTATCCATATAGGGTGAAGAATGATGGAAAAGTAGGACAGTTACTTTATATTAACTACACTATCCTTAATAAAGCATGAAGAAACACTTAATGAACAAATAGGTTAAAGGGGCTATATTAACCTATTTTCCGATCCATGTTATAATGTTGTTTTCTCTTCACAAACATACCTGGAGTTGTGTTTTGTTTCATGCACACATGTTTAACACACAAGTCCTTAGCCTGAGTTCTTCTATCAAATGGAAACACTCTGTTCCACCTTGTGATGTCATGTGGTAACAGAGGACTTGCTCCACAGAGTTTTTAAACTACATACATCTTCATTAGAATCATTTGGAAAATTTCAGCCCTGGGATTGCCCATGTAAAAAAAGGGAAAAGGTTGCTGTTAACTTGAAAACTATTGCTTCATGACATCACAAGGTGGAATAGAGCATTTTGAGTTTTGGAGATGTAAACAGTAATAACAATGGATTACTCAGATATGTGTGAATGAAACAACACACGACTCCAGGTATGTTTTGGATGAGGTAACAATATTCTAACATGTCTTAAAACTCACAAAAGTCAACTTTCTATAATATAAGACCTTCATTAAGAATGATTCAGGTTTATTAACTACTTAGTAACTACTTCATTAAGGAGTTAAGGTTTTACATAAGAATAGTTATAACCTTTGAATCATTCTTAATAAACCATTTGTTCTTTGTTCGTGTTATTTTATTCTTTTAATAGTGAAAAGTCCTCAAAATGTTGCCTATCACAGGAAGATGAAACCCATGAATATGAGTATTTGCATGTAACCAAGTTGGTAATTAGTTTTGTGTTTTTTGTGTTTAATAGTTTAATCAGAACTAGGGAAAACAGAAAAAGTCCCAAAATTCCTTTGGAGAAATGTCCTGCTGTTGTGTCCCAGTACACACATTTTCACATGTTTATACAGCGCTCTGTAGCTGAGGGGCACCCAGTCCTCCAAATACAATTCCAAACTTTTCTCATTTTGTAATCAGGGAACAACATCCAATGCCAAATCCAGGGTGAACAAGGTTACCCAGTATTTGGAAATCCACAATGCTTTTATTTTTGTGAAAAAAAAATATACCTAGATACCAGTCAGCTAATAGTTATGATTAAGGTACACTTTAATGTCCTGGTAGAAGTGTCCTCTGCCTCTAGTATCTCTAGTATTGTAACCAAATCTCAGTATCAATACTGAAAAAATCACATTTTACATTATTTACAAATTTCACCTTGAAAGAGAATAGTCAAGGTTAAATATGAGTAGTCTAGATAGATAGATCATTTTCAGAACTAGTATAAGATAATGTGGTAATGATTGTGTGTTGACAGTTACATTCTTTTGTCTAAAGCATAGATTTTTTATTATCACTGTTGTAATGAAATATATTGCTTCATAGGTAATATTATGAAGAAGATGAATGATATAGCAGGTTGTAGCAAGTTAATTCAGAAAAAAGCATGCTCTCTCAATCTTATCTTAGACTGAGTATGAACTTTTATTTCATCTACCAAGCACATAGTCTGTCTGTCCTCTTCAAACCCCTGTAAACAGCCCTGTCCCCTCACTGCCGCCATGATAAGCAGTGTCCCTTGCTTCCCAGCCCCAAAGCCAGCACTCCTGTATGGGCCTGTCCCATGTGACAGGGGCGATTCACAGCAGGACAGGCTCTGCTTTCACCTCTTTATCTCAAGTGGGGCCGAAGTGTCCGGGGAGAGGCTGGGGCTTTGTGCTGGTAATGCTGCAGACAGTGTCCACAGTGACTGAGCTGGACAGAGCAGCAGTAATTACAAAGATCCAAACAACAAAGAGGTTTATCTGAGCGCCAAATGAGGGCTCATTAAAATGTCAGGGCGCGGATTCACTTAACAGCACCTGGCAAGATGGTTTAGACCTGACCCGGGCGAGTGGCGAGAAGAAATTTAAAAGTTCACTGTGTAACTTTTCTGGTGGAGGAGTTGCCATCTGCTTATCTACATGGAGATGTTGATGCTTTGTCTGGACTGTCCCGGTACAGCATTAAACGCATCCATCTTGCATTTAATCAATAACATGTTTTGTTTTTTTTTTACTTAAAAAAGCCTTCTTACTGTGAGTGGGCTTGCCTCTCTAAAGATCTGACATGTAATTGGCTCTATTGTGTCACCTGCAGTCTCCATTGAGATGAATAAGTGTAATACCATACTGTGGAACATTCCAGGCAATATCTCCATAGAGAGAAGCTGGTGTTGGACCCTATACAAGAAAAATTACACAGTGCACCTTTAAAAGAAGATATTAAAATATACTAATATCAGATTATTCAAATTAGAAATTAGAGTTTAGATTACAGCTAGAGTCTAAATATTCTAAGGCAATGATTCCCAAACCTTTCACACCAAGGACTGCCTGGCTTGGCTCTTTGATTAGCAACACATCTTAAAGGTCCTATATTATTATGTTAAATGCTGTTCCACTTTGTGATTGCATATACGTAGGGGTAGTTTTCAAGTTAACATTTACCCTATTCAGGAAAGACTGGCATTTCCAGGGCTGAAATTATCCAAATGGTTCTCGTAAAGGTGTAAGGAGTTTAAAAACACAGTGACATACATATTACCATATGACATCACAACAGCAAATACAACTCCAGGCAACATTATAAAACAGATCAGAAAAAAGTAATATAATATCTAAAATAAATAATAATATTGGCCCTTTAACTTAACCCTTAACATCCTATAGTTTCTATTCCTGTACTTATTAGTTATTATAGATTCCATACAATAGACTGTAATCTTTTATCTGGCACACTAAAGTATATGTGAATACAGGTCCAGTGGTGCAGCTCCTGTCTGTGGAATAACATGTGATTTATGGAGCAGTGAAAGGCGTGCCGTGCGTGACACGGCGGAGTCTCGGGTTTAAACCTTGTCTTTCAAAATCCAATGAAATCAGTTGCACCTCCATTTCACAGGAACATAAGGAGCCCTGACACACACACACACCTGCAGATATCCACCCCCTGCTGCTTTTACAGAGCTCATGTGGGCTACGAAAGACCACGAAAAGTTTGGGTAATACAAACTGGAAGTGTCAAATAAAAAAACAAAACAATACACTAATCCATACTATAAAAAACTCCCCAAGGCAATTTTGGTATATCCACTTTCTGGAGTACATTTTTAAATTTGTAAGAGTTTCTAGCCATGTCATTTTCACTAGTTTCATTTATGTAATAGGAATTGCTGAGTAGAGTCCCAGTCACCAATGAATTGCCTGCAATGCTTAGCCAGAACTCAGAGATTATGCAGACTGCAGTGAAAAACAATTTAATTCAGGTTCGCATTTTGTGTTCAAAATGGCATTATTGTATACATGTGTTATATAGCATGAAGACAAGGAATTGACTGTACAGGACTATTTCAAAAGATGATTTCCTTACCGTGAAAGTGAGTTAGAAATTTTTGTATCGTAACAACACTACAACCAACAAAGATGGAATGATTTTGAGTTATTTTCTGCAGTTTTTTAGTAACATTTTATAAAACTTGTATTGAGACAAGACCCATATCTGTTCAGTTATTTCACTGACTCCTTTATTCCTCAACTGTCAGTCAAATCTACTGAGAAATGAACTTCTTCTCTTTTATTTGGTCTCTTTTCCAAAGTGGGGAGGGTTTACAGCTAAGGAATCAAGGAGGCAACTGAACAGAAATAAGACGTGGCCAAGACAGATAGCTCACCTGCAAATAAATTCATAAAGATTAAAACTCAAAAGCATCCGACTACCCTGGACCCTTGCAAAGTACTGAACACATCTGTAAGCAATCGGTCTGTGTGTTAGCTCCTCTCTGTGTCTCTACTGTTCACGTCTTAGCCCCAAACTCACCCGTCTGATTCATGAGAGGAGTCAATCTTGTGTCTAGTATGGTTTGAAAACACATGCAGGACAACATAAAACAACTTGACTTATAGGACCATCCTGTAGCGTATCACTAGTCTTTTTCATGACGTCAGAGAGTGGAGAGGTAGGAAATTCTGGGTTTACACAGAAGATAGATTTGAAACTTTGATCCACTTCAAAATATGACAGAAGATGCACACTGCCAGTCAAAAGTCTCATTCAGTGTTTTTTTTTTTTCTTCATTTTGACTACTTTCTACGTTTTATATACATACATACAGAAATCAAATATATGATGGAATTATTTAGCAATGAAGAAACCTCCAGTGTCAGTTTACACAAGTGTATGAGTGTGCGGGTGAATGGGTGAGTGGTTGCTTGATGTAAAATGCTTTTGAGTGCCTCGAAGGTGGAAAAGCACAATATAAAAAAGAGCCCATTTACCATTTACACGAGTAATATTGTTTTGAAGTACACATCTTGGTCACCTTACCCACCTTTACTTTTTAACCTATAAATTCATGTATTTATTTGACAGGGACAATGCAGTCATACATAGTCACAGGCAGAGCATGCAGATGATACGATTCATATAGATCAGTGTTTCCCAGACTTTTTTTCTGGGGACCCATATTTTAAAAGTCACAAACCTTTTTTATTTATTTGTAAATCACAAAATAAAGGTGTATTTGACTATTATTGAACAATAATGAGGATATTTTATTGTTGGTATTACTCACGTTTTAAACTATGAAAAACTGTAACTGAACCAGCAATAGAAGGGATCTATAAGTAGCCTATTTGGAATGTAGCCCATTTTCTTTTTCTCTTCAACATCCAACTGCACCAGCAATATTGGAACAAAATAGTCAATAAAATTATTACAAAAATATTAGAAATTATACAATGTCTTAACATTTCAACCAACATGCAGATCGTGATAAGCCAGGCTGGCACCACCTAGTGCCTCCACTCAATTTCGTTTCTCTCCAGCAACTAGGTCAGGAATCAAAATACACTAGATGGTTTGCAAAAACCCCAGCCATACATTCAGTGTTGTCAACGATTCCCAAGATCAAGGATTTAAAACCGGAACAAAGAGAATATTTGGTGAATTTTATCAAGGGAAAAGACGTTATTGTCCTTCTTCCTACAGGATGTGGGAAAAATAAAAAAGTACCCTGCCTACCGTCCGAGCGAACGAATTCTAACACTGCGAGGTCAGATGGTTTCTACGAAGTGAAACCGGCTGATGAATCAGGATAAATCATGACAAATCATGACAAGGTGACCCCCCAAAAAAACTCTTGCGACACACCTGAGGGTCACAACCCAGTTTTGGGGAAAAAATTATATAGAGTGTATAGATTGTGCTAATTCTCATCTGCTGTCCCTGGTTGGGCTTTTCCTTCACAAAACAGTTTAAAACAGTTTAAAAGTACAATCTTTAAACACATTTTTATCATTGTATCATTTACATTGTTTCCTGTCCAGTCAGCACCCTCAGTTAACATGTGTCCTTTGTCCCCACTGTCTGTGTGTGTGCGTTGGCAGTTGGTCGTCTGGTGTGAGGAGACGATGAGCACAGAGGGACCCCACCTGTCCGAGCGCTGCACGGAGGAAAACTCAAGACACAAGCTGAAAATATGAAACCTGTAATTTATAAAAACAAGTGAAACAGCGCCAGAATATTTGCACTTTCTTCTCCCCAGGCCCAACATCGTACTTTTATGTACTGTGTGTGTATGTGCAAGAGACTGAAGGTCTAAAATGAGAATATATTTGTGAAGAAGAAGACAGGCTCACCACTGGAAGAGCTGCAGCTGATTTTGACACATTCCCTGTCTGATGTATTGTATTGTAAAAACAGTGTTCATAATTTTGTGGATAATAAATTGTGTAAATTCTACATTTTCCTATTTCAAATATATTCACCAGTGGAAAGCTTGAAGAAATGTATTGTGGATAACAGTCAGGGCTTGACATTAACTATTTTGCTCACTGGTCAGTGTGGCTTGTGTTTTTGATCAAAGGTGACCTGCAAATTATCTATTTAGCCTCCCGTGCAATATGGGTTCATTGCAAAAACCAATATCTAGGTAAGTTAAATGTCGTAAATTAAAAACATTTTACTTGATTTGAGTAGATTCAGTTTGAAAAGTAGAGTGATCTATCAATGGAGTTTGTATGTTTTTCTTAATTTAAGTGTGTTTTTCTTAATTTAAGCAACATTAGATTTTGTTTAGAAACATTAGAAAATACAAAGTGCAGCAAGATGTATTTTCAGTATAAAAGTTTTGTTCCACTGGCAGATCATTTTACTTGTCTAGTGAAATTTACTTAAATCATAATAAAACATTCTTAACTAAGAAAGAAAGAAAACAAAAAGTATAAATCTGACTTTAAATGTGTATCATACAACTCCGCCATCTAACTGTCTCCATGGAGATGTTACTGCTTTCCCTGGAATGTTCCACAGTATGCCATAAAATGTATCCATTACACATTAAAGGTTGTATAGAGGATTTTCCAAGGAACGAGAAATCCAGCGACTGTTTGTCCTTTTTCAAATGTTGCGCATGCGTGAAACCACCCCCCCTCCCCTACAGCTCCTACGTAGAAACGCCTCCTCCCGCCTCCTCCGTATGCCAGAAACAGGTTTGTTTACAGCCGGTGCGCTGCACATGACTTGTAAACAAGTAACTACAGTGTTGGTTAGGCAAGACGGAGAAGTGAGGAGCGGGGGGAGCGGGTGCGCGGACATTTCGTGCGCGGACAAGAAGTGAGGAGCAGGGAGAAAGAGGCGAGAGAGGAGAGAGAGAGGAGAGGGGAGCGGGGCGCGGTGCGCGGAGATTCCGTGCCCGGAGAAGTGAGGAGCAGGGGGAAGAGCGGAACGGGCAGCGGGGAGAGGAGCAGGAAAGGGGTGCAGAGAAGAGTGCACGGAGATTCAGTGCGAATGAACTAGCTACAACACGCAGCAGCAAGCGGACTCTTTCTTTGCCTTGAAAATTATGTTTTCAGACATAGGATATCGCTTTCATGTCCTGAAAAACGTTTGACTAGCTCTTGGAAATAAAGTACGTTTTCATAATAAGCAGAAGTGACCTGTCCAGGAGTAATTTGGCGACCAATGCGTCAGTCTTTAGACCCTGCGTCTGCTTCAGTTGCGCCATCGCTGGAATGAATCTTCAAGAATCACCTTAGTTTGGCTTCGTTGCTTTTCCCCTTGTCTTCTTCTTTCAGCAATCTCAAAAACTGACTTTCTTTTGCGGCTAACTGCTCCTGGATTCTTGTCTGCCATTGCAACAAACTTTGTGCTAACTGCGAGGAAGATATAGGTCAAAAAAAGCCGCTAAGAACTGTTGCGTCTGTGCGTCTTGAGTCTGTGGACTGCGTGACAGGCGTACGTAAACCACGTACCGGCGGCGCGCAGGCAAGTCAGTTACGCTAGAAACGTAGGGAGATTGATTGACAGCCTGTCAGCTAACAGATAACGAGGCAATGTCGTTATCTATTGGCAAATGTTTAGCTGGCACCACCACGTCCAGAGTTGATGAATTTTTATTCTCTTTTTTTTGGTCATCATAATTACAAGGCTACTGCATCTCTATAATGCTATCATTGACAACTTGAAACAAAAAAAAAATCCTCCATACAACCTTTAAGTGAATTACAAGTATTTTTATTGCTCAAAAATATCTTAAAAACATGAATTTTCATTGTCAGCGTAGTTGCCTCTCCACATAATTTGACCTTGTAGTGTCGCTTGGGTCTTTGCAAATGGATTGCACTGCTGTAGAAAATTCCAGGTAAAACAAAAACATCTCCATAGAAACAAACAGTTGAAGGACTATACCCCAGGAAACTTACACATTGCACCTTTAAGCTATGTAACATTTATTCTATGTCTGAACAGGGATCAAACTGTAACCAAGGATAAATTCATTCCCCTATGCATACACACCACAAACAATTTGGGAGTAAACAAGGACTAAACATCTACTCAACCAGGACTAACTAGTCCAACTAAAACAAGACCAAACTTAATCTAAACCCTCATAATTAACCTGGAGCCAAACTAGAAGGAGAAGGTGAGGAGGATTGTGCATAAAAATACAAGGGCCAAAGTGACCAGTGGGACTGAATGAATAACCAAACTTTAAAGGTGCACTTCGTAACTTTTTGGATGGGGGTCCCTTATCTGCTTGTTTCTATGGATATGTCAGTGCTCTGCCTGAAAGTTTCACAGTATGACAGTAAACAGCTCTACCTTACATTTACTCAATTACAGGTGGTTTTATAGCTTTATATATAGACATTCTAACTGTGAGCGGGGCTACCTCTCCACAGATCTGACCAGTAACTTGGTCTACATGAAAATAGAAAGGTTCAGTACTATACTGAGAAACATTCCAAATAAGCAATAACATGTCTATGGAGAAAAGCATTTTACAGACCCTCCACCAGAAAAGTTACACCATGCACTTTTAAATCTAACCTTTTGATATAGTTAATGTCAAGCCCTGTAACGATCAAAGTTTTAGGAGTCACTGTCATTTTTACTGAATCAAATATTTGGATACATATTAACTATACTTTTAGCACCATTCCTAGCAAAAGCTGTGTGTCATTTGGTGGTGACAGCTGCTGACAAGACCAGAGAAACACCATAAACTTTGAGCTCATTCACATTTTACACAGATCATTATTAATTTACAGACGCCACTGCATTTTAGCATTATTATCATGGCTTAGCAGTCTTCACCAACCCCCACAGTGAACTTTGTGTATAAATGTAGACACAACAGTGAGTGCTTTTGTTGTTGTTTCTGTCAGAGTAAATACAATGTTTATCACCAGTCTCCATGTTCTTCCACATGTCTGATCACCATTCCCTTGTTTCAGTTACAGTTCTTCTTTTCTACACAAAACAATGTGAAGTCCTAGACTGTAAATGACCACCACAAGCATCCCTGTCATTATTGTATATTGTGATAAAGCATGGGGACTGTTTTGTTTGTTTATTTGTTTGTTTTTTAACTCCTTCCTTCATGGACCACCACATGGACTTGTCTGTCTCTCATGTAAAACACAGCACTGTGTTCTGAGAACAATCGTAAAATAACTGAGCACACCTGAACCACATGTTTTTAATGTAAAAATAAACTGCCCATATTTGGAGCGATTTGTTGTATGAATTACAAATTGCAGTGTGTTTTGTTCTAATGTTTTTGCTCTTTTTGTGTTCACAATCGCAGTCATGTTTAGGAAATTCAGAGGAAATAATACTTTTCTGTATACTGTATGAACTCTGAAGAATGGGCCATCTTTAAACATTAACCTATAGAGAAAGGTGCTATTTTTCTATCAGTGCCAAAACTACAAGCCTCAAAAGAGCATCAGGATCTGATAATGAAAATGAACTGCACAAACTTGTACTGCAAAAGTACAAACACGACTTAGAAAATATTTCCTTTATTTTTCTAATTTGTTTAAAAATTAAATTAATTAATTTTATTTTATTTTTTTTTACAGTTTTGCTATACAGGAATATATTGGTGCATAAAAACAACATCAAACTAAGAATGCATCAATGTAAATGAAACTAAAGCAAAAGCACTAAAAAGGCAATGTCAAATTTAGTCTGAGCTGCTAAAAAGACTCAAAAGATCAAGGACAGGAAGGGTGCAGCAGTGCCCCCAACTGGTCATGATGCAAATGTCCATTTGACATTATTCCACTGACCAAGTCAAGACCAAATCAAGATCAAACCCTAGTGGTATTTTCAAGTTACAAAGGATTCTTTCTCTCTCACCTGTACCTCTAACAAACAGCAATGAAAGTTTCAAACATATAGCCTAAACTGAGAACTAAATTCTCAGTTTAAAAACATAGCAAAAATCAAAGGTTTACTGTCTAAAGCAGACTTGGAGAAACTTATCCATGCGTTTGTCTCCAGTAGGTTAGGCTACTGTAATGGTCTGCTCACTGGCCTCTCCAAACGAGCTGTGAGACAACTGCAGAACATCCAGAACGCTGCAGCTCGGGTCCTTACTCGAACTAGGAAGTACGAGCACATAAGTCCTGTGCTCAGGTCTCTGCACTGGATCCTGTGGCTCAGAGAATAGACTTTATAGCAGCTCTGCTTGTGTACAAGTCTCTCCATGGCCGAGCACCAAAGTACATCTGTGGCATGTTAGTGTCATATGAACCATCTCGCACTCTGAGGACCTCAGGGACCGGCCTCCTGCTGGTGCCCAGAGTCAGGACTAAACAAGGGGAGTCAGCGTTTCAGGTTCATGCAGCTAAAACCTGGAACAGTCTTCCTGAACATGTGAGACAGACTCTTCTGTGACGCTGTTTAAATCTAGGCTCAAAACATTTCTGTTTGACTGTGCATATAACTGAAAGGTTTTCATTCCGCACTCTTCTCTCCAATTTATGTATCTCTTTTTTAATTTTAATCTTCATGATTATTTATGTTTTGATTTGTTTTTATTATGATTTTAATGTATTTCTTATTCTGTAAAGCACTTTTAATTACTTTTTGTACGAATTGTGCTATACAAATAAACTTGCCTTGCCTAAATTGATAAAACACACACACAAGCACACCCATGTGACTCTATTGTGTTGAAATGTTCCAAAGAGCTACCCAGGAAGCCCATACCCCTGTGTGTGCTCTGTGTGTGCAGGTGCTATGTGAGGAGGGTAGAGTGCCATAAGGAACATAAGTTGCTCACTCCTCCCTCTTGTGGTAGCACTCTGAATCAGCACTGTCTCATAATAGACTATATTACATTGGATAAATAATTTTTAACAGTAAAACAGATATTGAAAACTTATTTGTCACAAACATTTTATTTTGCACTTTCACAACATTAGAACCAGTTGGAGACAACTCTTGACCTTATAGAGATGAATTACTGTAACTAATATTTTAAAATCCAAATCTCATTTGAGACCTTAATACAGCACACTATAATAAGTAATAATATGCAATCTTGTGTGATTTTTCTCCATTGTTTGTGTGCATTGAAACACTTAGCAGCAGATCAAACACTATTACAGGTAATTGGAGAGGCCCATTAGCTTGTGCGCTAGCCAAACATTAGCAGTGGGGGCAAAGAGTGTACACACTGCTCACCATTTGTTTTTAATGCTGTGGTTAGCCACACCAGCACCTGCTTGAACAAAGGGTCAGCAAGGTCATCTCCCCGGGGACCAGGGCT